CCACGGTGGTTACTGCATCTACCCTGGGTCCAATTTGGTGTCATGGTCGTCTCGCCAGCACCATACTTTGTCTTGTTCAAGCACTGAAGCAGAGTACCGCTCGCTAGCCAGTGCCACTCGTGAACTTTCATGGCTTGTCTCCTTACTCCATTAACTGGGTTATCAGCCCCAGCAAGCTCTAGTTTTCTGGTGTGACAACTTAGGCGCCACCTATCTCACTGCTAATCCCGTCTTCCATGAGCGTACTAAGTACATCGAGATTGATTTCCATTTTGTGCGTGAATAGGTTGCCCGGAAATCACTTGATGTTCGATTCATCTCTTCAGTTGATCAACGACTCAACGTGCTGACATATGTACAAAAGGTCTTGGTCACTCTCGGTTTGTCTTCCTAAGGTCCAAGCTGAACGTGTGCTCCCACCCGCTCACCTTGAGGGGGGATGTTAGGCAAGTTGATAAGTCAGCTCAAGATCGTGTTGCCCAGGCTCCCGTATCACAGTCCAAGTCTGCTTACACACCTATGCACAAGGATAAGGATAACAAGTTAAAAAGATGATCTCTACTTTGAATTTTAAAAGATTTTCACTTGTATTGTAACTCTACTGCCTGTTGTACTTATCACTACGGTTGTAATTCTCAAGCAATTATAAATGCATACAACTGACTCAATATACATCATTCGAGTCAGTCATTTACCAAATTCTAAGTTTATTAGTCATTAGTTATGAAAATTATTCTAATAGATCTATATTTTGAGTAAAATTCTACCTTTAATAGTTAGTAACAAGGTTTTAAAACGTCCATAATAATGTCTTAAATGTTATTGGTCGAAGATAAGGTTCGCGAGAGTTCTAAGAGATCCCGGATCTGTATTCTGTATATTTCCTGTACATTTAAGATTTAGAAGTTTTGTTTTTCTTTTTGGATTAGGAAGTCTTTTGGATTTTAGAAAGTTTTGGGGAGCAAGAACTCCTTCGAATTTGTATATATATATCATAAGATAACAATGGAAAAGCAGGACCTTTGGCTTCCGAAAATTTTCATGATATCAGAGCCACCTTCTGGCAGCCATTATAAGGTGGTAAAGCTTATCGACACTGACGTTGATGTACTCTGAGTCCCAGTCCCTGATTTCTTCGTTGTAGCAGCGGCAGGTCTGGACTCTTCTTCCTCCTCTGGACCGAAACAGAGCAGCGACCGATAGGCGGGGCGGCAGTTACTTCACACCCCACTCTTCTTCTCATAATCCCACGAGGGAGAAGGCTTCAAGGACTGTAGCTCATCCCCTTCCTTCGAACCCAACCCAGAAGACTGGCGGTAAACACTGTTTTTCTTCCTGTTCGAACGGAACAAGCGGCAGTACTGTTCATCTTCTCTGACCTCGTGAACCTTATCTTCCTCCAATACCACACAATATCTAATAATGGTCATAAAACATTGTGGCTTGTATTTACTTCAGACAATTTATTGTCATAACTACTGATCAAAAAAGATAAAAAGGTAACGGTTAGCTGTTCTTATTACAGTTCTGTTATAATTGCTATTATGAGTCAACATATATCATTACTAGTTTTCAGTTGGTAATAGACTAATAGTTAATTTGTCTTTGTATAGATTAAACAAATAAGGCATCCCAAAAAGCGAATGAGGTATTGAACCTATGGTCCCAAATAGTTATATAATTTGCCACGATCAAATTTCCAAGATTCCACACGGTCCCATTCTACATCTGTGTTGCTAGTTCAAACCCCCAAAAAGGAGAAAGGAAAGAACAGTGAAGAATGAAAACAATCTAGTATTTGGCCATTTATTTCCCAGTTCGTATATATATATAAGACTCCATATGGATATATCCCAGAGCTGTTCCAATAACGCATATCTTTCACTACCCATTAAGCAAGGTATATATTGTTTTGTTTGTATTTTTAAGCAAGCTTTCAAATATCATGTGACCGATCTATAAAGAGATAGGGGTGCAAATGAATCCGATCCAATCCTCTTTGGTAGGGGTGTCTATTGATTAATCGAACCATAGGCAATTTTTGTAAATTGAACTGATACCATCAGTTTTTTCATTTCTCCAAATTGAAATCGGTACCACCGGTTAACCGGTAGATTGGTTTTGGTTTTTGACCAGTTCGTTCTTTGGTTTTTTGGTTTTTTATATTTATAATATATTATATAAATATATGTATAATATTATATTATAAACAATAAATGATATATAATATATTATAAATATTGTAAAAATATATAATATATTTATAAATAGATTATTATAAATATAATATGTGTGTGTATATATTTATATATATAATGAATATATATTTATATATAATATATAGAAAATATGTGGCATATATTAAAGATATATATAAAATATACATATAAATATATATACCGGTCGGTTCGATTAACTACTGATTTTTTGTAGGTTAACCAAAAACTGAACCGGTCCTTCGATTTTTTAAAAATACCAAGTCAAAATCGAACCAATAAATTCGGTTAACCGCATTTTGCGATTCGGTTCAATTTTTTGGTTTTTTCGGTTTTTCATGGACACCCCTACTATGTCAAATTCAGATCATCCTGTTCAAATCACCCCTATCCGATCTAAGAAGATCCGATCCGATATATGTTATATATTTATTTATACAAATATATATCATATACATATATATATATATATGTTATTTATGTATAAATAAATAAATTATTTATATGGTATTTTTGTAAATTTGTTATATTATTTATTTTTTATAAAAAACATGTATATATATATATGATGAAAATAATTAAAAATATACTTGTATTTTTTTGTTTTTCTTGAAAACAAATCGGATTGAATCAGATCCAAAGATCTAACTTCCCTATTGGATTCAAATTCAGATTCTTGCCTATCAAATCCGATTGAATATTCCAATCATATCGAATCTGCGAAAAAAAGTATCAAATCAAATTTGAATATACCCTAATTCAAATCCGATCCGATCTATTTACATTCCTATACATATATGTAATGATACGATGTAATAATGTATTTAGTGTCCGGAGCTTGAGAATGTGATTAGCCACTCTCCATGGACTTGGAAAGGACACTTGCAGAGCTGGAAGTTGGCCAAGTGGCTATTGGAGACAGCTGGTATGGTTGAGCTACTCTCACAATCATTACTCATGAAGCTTTCTCTTGCTCTCAGCTTCAGCTATTTGTTCTTCCAAACTGATAATTGCTTCCTTGGCTGTGTTACCTGCGTATATGCAGCTATGTGTGTATGTGTTTGTGACTGCGTATATGCACCAATTAGAGAATTTTAATCATGATTTACTATTCATCCAAGTTAATGATAAAGTTCATAGCATTGGTATCACAAAAAATATTGGAAAATGCAATTTTAAGATGGTTATAAAACCCATGGATACGTGGGAGGATTAAGTATATTTAGGACTTTAAATAAATCCCAAAAATATATCAACAATACTAAGGGTCTATTTGGTTCTTGATAATAGAGTTTGGAACCGGAATCAAAATGGTCCAATTGTATTTGGTTCGGCAGAATTAGAATTCAATTGCCATTCTTGGTGGAATAGCATTCTTAAATTTGAGGGAATGATCATTCCCTCTCTATCTCTTGGGAATGAGAATCCATTCCATTTGATTCTAATTCTGATTCCTATCTGAACCAAATAGGTGGGGGTATAGACCATTCCGATTTTGATTCCAAAAGATTTCAATTCTGATTCCGATTTTAATTTCAACTCTGAACCAAATGGACCCTAAATATAAATTTCAAATGATTAAGAAATGCATATTTTAGATGTTGAAAAATGATATTTTATAAACATGGGAAATGGTAAATGAATTAAAATATGATTTAAAAATGTATTGTTTTTTGTTTTAAATTAGGAAAATTTAATAACTTTGATGATCAATTAATTATTTTTAGTTTTCTAATTGATCCGATATCGTGCGAGAAGATAAGATTAACAAAAGTGGTTCAAAAATTTAAATTTAAAGCATGAGTTATTTTAACAAACAGGTTTAAAACAATAAAGAACATGAACCAAGCTGATTACCCTTACAAAATGTGCAAGAGTAATTTTTGTATGGGAAATTTCCTTATTAGTACCCTATACTTTGGGCCTAGTGTCATTTTGGTCCCTGAACTTTAAAATGCGACAATTGAATATCCAAACTTTCAAAATGTGTCAATCCAGTACCTATCATTAATTAGGTGTTAATTAGCCGTTAAATGCCTTTGGAAAAAACACAAATGCCCTTCGAGTGTCATTTAATTTTCTTTATCAACCATCCAAACATTGTCAAAAAAAATTAACAATCTCAAATCCTCGTCTCTTTTATTCAAGAAAGTTGGGGTCCAGAATGCCCACTAAAATGTGACCCCAACTTTCTCGAATAGAAGAAGCAATGATTTGGGATTGTTAATTTTTTGTCAATGTTTGGTTGGTTGATAAAGAAAATTAGATGGCACTCAAAGGGCATTTATGTTTTTTTTTCAAATGCTACTTAATACTAAATTGACTCGTTTTAAAAATTCGAATTCTTAATTATCGCATTTTAAAATTTGGGAACCAAGGTGGCACTAGACCCAAATTACAAGGTAGTAATGGGGAATTTTCCCTTTTTGTAAAGCAATCTCCCCTCTTCCCAATTAGCTAGACTTACAAAGGAATGGGTCAGTCAAATACGGTTATGGGTATTATCCAAATCCAATCCAATAAAAATCTTAATTAAATGTCACTTTTAATCTTAAGGAATTTTGAATTAAAATTCTAAAAATGTCTAAATACACACATAAATGGGTATGTATCATGTTAACTACATGCAGTTAGATTCTACCAGATCACATCAAGTAATAATATATCCAAATTCGACGTTATTGTTAAATGGATCCAATCCAATGATCATGAACCGGATTTGAAATTTTGAATTGAACCATTTTGCCAATTGGCTAATTGCTACGAGGCCTCCGCAAGTCCGCCCTATCGTCATGGCTTCCGCTTCGTAACCAGAGGTCCAGAACGTTTTTCTTCTTCAAACAGCACTACACTACACCAGAACCGTTAACGAATAAGATTGGAGACAATACAAGAACCGAGCAAATTAAGTTAATAGAAACTCACACACACGCACACACCGGGAATCACAATCACAATCACACACTGATCTGAGAAATGCCGGGAAAGGCTATCCTTACCCTTATATTCTTCCTGTTCCTTCTCATCTCTTTTTTTCTCTTCTTCGGAACCGTCGATTTCAGATCCTACTCCTTCCCTCTATACCCATCTCCGTATGGGCAACCCTCTTCTTGCCACATTGGACCCCCTCCTCTACGAGTCTTCATGTACGATCTCCCCCGTCGATTCAATGTTGGCATGCTCGACCGCCGGAGCTCGGGTGATACGCCCGTTAATGCCCATAATTTGCCTTCCTGGCCGACGAATTCCGGCCTTAGGAAGCAGCATAGTGTTGAATACTGGATGATGGCCTCGCTTCTCTACGAGGGAGTAGATGACCAGGGTACCAGAGAAGCGGTTAGGGTTTTGGATCCCGACTCTGCGGATGCCTTCTTCGTGCCCTTCTTCTCGTCAACAAGTTTCAACACACACGGGCACAACATGACTGATCCCGATACGGAGATTGATCGGCAACTTCAGGTAATGTTCTTCCTATGCGGTAGTTTGGTGTTTTTTTTTTTTTTTTTTGAGGATTGTTTGTATTTGGATGTGGAACTTTCGGTTAAGTTGGAAAAGTGTGTTTTGTCTTGTTTGTGTCAACTATGAATCATAAGATGATTTCAGTGCTATGCAGTAAATACATGCAGCTGTAGGTTTGACATGATCTGACTGATATAGTAAATATTTCTTAGTGAGATTGTGGTTTCCTTTCCTTTCGAACGGCAGAATAATCTTGAAATGCTGAAAACTTTTAAATTTCCTATGGGTGTTCTTCTGGTGGAGTTAGATGGCAGTAAAGTTCAAATCGTGGCATCTGGGTTTATTAGAGTGTATCTATATTTAATGGAATCGTCCAATGAGCTCATCATTCTTCAGTATGAAATTACATTGGTTAATCACATTATGGCATTCGATCTGTAGGTCAGCAAAGTAAGAAAGAGAACAACAGTCTTGTTACTCCACATGGTTCTCTATGGTATCTAGAAATTTCTTCCTGGATTGTAGTCTTTAATTTCATGCACTGATAAAAACTAAACCTTGTAATCTTCCATCCACCATCAGCAAAGTGTTAAGCACCTTTTTGGCATAGCCCCCAGAGGCTGTTGGTAATATGACTCAAGCCATCTGGGTCAATTGTGGTTGACATAGCATGATAAAATATAGCCTCTTGGTCATCAATACTAATCAAATTAAAGGAATCTATACAGCATGGTTATGTTCTTTCTCTAATCTCCTATGGGTATATCACTTGTTGGATTAACAAATACTTTGAAATGCTTCCAAATCATTTCTCTGGTTTTATTTTGGATCAAAATGAAGCTTGCTTGTGATTTTAGATTGACTTGCTGGAGTTCCTGAGGAAATCCAAGTATTGGCAAAGGTCTGGCGGACGAGACCATGTAATTCCCATGCATCACCCAAATGCTTTTAGGTTTCTTCGGAATCAGGTGAATGCATCTATTCTTATTGTTGCAGATTTTGGGCGGTATCCGAAAAATATGTCAAATCTGAGCAAAGATGTTGTGGCCCCATATGTACATGTAGTTGACTCCTTTAAAGATGATGACACTCAAGATCCATTTGAATCTCGTACAACACTTCTCTTCTTCCAGGGGAGGACAATCAGAAAAGATGTATGTTTAACTGATTTATTGAAAGATGTTTGCTTATATATGTATGTGACATCCATCTGATGTTATTACTTCAACCTTTATCTTTTTAGAGAATAATTGTTTATCTTTTAATATTGCAGGAAGGAATTGTTCGGGCAAAACTAGCAAAGATACTAGTTGGTTATAATGATGTACACTATCAAAGTAGCTTTGCATCAGGAGAAAACATAAAAGCAGTAAGTGGTGATATAAATGTTATGTTGTCTATGGAGTTCTCAGGGATATGTCATCCATCCTCCAACTGGGGTGTTCTTCAATCTATATTGTAGATACTGTTTCTTATTAGGAGACCTTGGAAACATTCTTTTTAAGCTGACTTTATAATTTGCAGTGTTTCTAATCCTTTATGATCATTTGAAGTTTACAGTCTCTTTTTAGATTATGGTAACAGATTTATTTAGTAGAAATTAAACACACACACACACACACTTATAGTACTGTATAGTGGATTTATAGCCTTTGTGGTCATAAGCCTAATCTGACTAATTGAAATTGGTTTGAACCTCTGCATCATGCCTCATTGCACACAGAGATATATATTATTTATATTCTTCATTTTGTTTACACATCTCAAGCTTATATTTTTCCTGCCTCTCATTCTCTTCCGTTCTGTTTAACAGGCCTCAGAAGGGATGCGTTCATCAAAGTTTTGTCTGCACCCTGCAGGAGATACTCCTTCCTCTTGCCGTCTCTTCGATGCTATTGTAAGCCACTGTGTCCCTGTCATTGTAAGTGACCGGATTGAACTTCCTTATGAAGATGAGCTTGATTACACCGAATTCTCTATTTTCTTCTCTTATCAAGAGGCACTAGAACCTGGTTACATGGTCCAGCAGCTCCGTCAAGTCCCAAAAGAGAGATGGTTTAAGATGTGGATGAGGCTGAAGAACATCTCCCATCACTATGAGTTCCAGTACCCCCCAAAGAGGGAAGATGCTGTTGACATGTTATGGAGACAGGTCAGGCACAAGCTTCCTGGGGCCAAGCTCACAGAGCATAGAATCAAAAGGTTGAAAATCCCAGATTGGTGGGGCCAAAGAAGAAGATGACTGTGTGATGATCATAGGCCCTGCCTTTATGACACTGTACATTTACCATTGATCATATTCACAACCATTTCCAGGGGAATGACCACATGGGGATATCACCTAGTGTTGGCAGTTATTTGCTAGTCATTTACTGTTCTAAGCTCATTTTCCCCCAACAATGTATTCCAGGGGTGTATCATTCAAGTGTAATTCTCAATTGTTTTTTCAAAGTGGCATAAAGCTTGGTGTCTCAACAACACAGAGTGAAAATCTGATGTATCGAAAAGTATGAATTTGGGAAAAATCTGTACTTCTGGAAAGACACAATATTGGAAGAGCTTTGACTAGACCTGGCAAAAAGTTGACCCAACGTGCGAACCTGACCCAACCCAACCCAAAAAAATAGGGTTAGAGTCTCATATTTAGCAACCCAAATGTGAAAATCACCCGACCCGACCCAAAAGAAACTGGGTTAGGTTGGGTTGGGTCATGGGTCAACCCGCTGACCCGATTGTCAAGTCTAATTGGGATTTATTTATGCATTGTTAGAAGTTTCCACTCTTTAATTTTTTCTATTTAGTCTTTACTTTTTATTGTTTACTCTTTAAATTGTTAAATGTTCAAGTTTTTATTTTATATTTAGAATTTTAAGGTTAATTCTTTTAATTTTGACATTTTTCTTTATTTTTTTATATTTCAATTATTTTTTGAGATGACCCGAATTGACCCATGGGTCAACCCTAACCCGAACATTTAGGGTTAGGGTCTAGCATTTAACAACCCAACCCGAAATCAACCTGAAATACATTGACCCGACCCGAACCCAACCCACCCAACCCGATTGCCAGGTCTAGCTTTGACCAATCAAAACCCTCCCGTAAGTTTTGATGAATGCCACCTGATTGATTGGTTACCATGTTTATGATACCGGTTGTTTGATTTTTTTTTGGTATCATAGTCGGACCTAAAGTAAATATGCCAATTTAGAACTCACCATTTTTTGGGTAAATTACAAAGACCCTTGTACCATGGGGTTAGTGACAAATACCCCCTTAACTTTTACTTTGCGACAAATGCCCCCTCCATTAGTGTTTTGTCAATTAACTTAGAAAAAATTCTCATTCAGCTATTTAATTTTTTTATATCTCCAAATTAGCCTTTTCCTTGTTTATTTGAATGCATTATGATTTGATTACTTTTCTAAATAACATTGAAGTACTCTTGGGAAGGTTTTAAGTTTTGATACGATACGCCATATTGTATTGTATCTTTAAAAGTCCGATATGAGATATGGTGAAAAATTGATTGTATCGTCTTTTTTCCACCATATCGGGGGTGTATTGGGATGTATCGATCAATACGCTATGAAAAAGATGCAACCAAAAATTGGGAAGAGAGAGAGAGAGAGATTATATCCGGTAAAGGTAACTTTTCATCCCTAATATCAATAAAAGTAAGACCTTTTATATAATAACCAATATAGGTTAACTTTCTTAAAAATATATCAAATATGGGCATTGTATGTATCGATTCCCGATCATGATTAAAATATACACCGTTTTCTCTTTTTTTTTCTTTAAATAAGACTGAATCAAGGTTCAAAGTATCGAAAACGCAAGGTGTATCAGAAAGACTATTTTAAGAGGCGTACCGGGATACTCTTTGGATACATATGGATATGAACGAAAAATTAAGATACGCATAAATATGGTAGAAAATTCAAATAAATCTTAAAAAAATATATTACTAACTATATTTACAAATTTTATATGATTATAAATAAGTCATTTAAATGTAAAAAACTATAATTTAATGGTTTATATAAAGTATGGCATATTGGGACACAATTAGTAACCGTTTAAAAATGATGGAATAACTAAAATGTAAAAGAAACAAAAAACAAAAATGTTAATGTCAATGTTCAAAAAATACAATATTATAATTAATCTTAATAGTATTAGTATATAAATTTTAATAATTAATTCTAGCATTTATTAATAAACACTTGTCACTCAGTAAGAAAAGTGAAAATTTATTTAAAATAAAAAATACATATAATGATAGCAAACAAATGTGTGGCTTAATGAGACGAGATCATTAATTAAACGAATTAATGAGAGAATTTGAATTAGGCGCTAAAATTCAAATTTAAATTTAAATTTGTCTTGGAGTAATTGACTAATTTAAACCAATGAGATGTTCCCATTGCCCAACAATCTCTTCTCCTAAAATTTATCCTAAACTACAACCTCCCCCACTTTATCCTAAATCATCTCCAATTCCCATTTATCTTCTAACTTATCTATAATTTACTAGAGAATTTCTCTCCAGATTATCGCTAATTCCTACTTATCCTCTTTAACACTTTTTATCTATATCTATCTAAAAAAGTTCAAATTAAAATTTTAAAATTATTTAAATATTTAAATAAACTATATAATAACTTTCAAATAATTATTAAAAACACAAAATAATTATAATATATTTAATAATATTCATATTATTAATAGTTTATATTTCCACAAAATTCATCACGAAATTATATACTAATAATATAAATTATGATTCTTCCAGATTATTCAAATTAAATGTTATTCAAATAACTAAATATCTTAAATAATAAAATACTAAAAATAGCTAAATAATTATATAGAAAATATTTAATTATTTAATTATTTTAATAACTAAATACCTGAAATTCAAATAATGAGTATTTTTTAAATAATTTAAATATTATTTAAATATTTACATAACTAAATATTTAACAAAATTATGAAATAAAATAAAATAAAATCATAACATAATATTCAAATTAATAATAATTTAATATTTTTACAAAATTAATAATGAAATTATGTAATAATAGTATATGCTTTAAAATAATTATTAAAAACACAAAAAACAATTCTAATAAATTTAATAATATTTATAGTATTAATAATTTTATATTTTTACAAAAGTCATCACGAAATTATGTACTAACTATAAATTATGATTTTTCAGATTATTCAAATTAAATGATATTCAAATAATATAATCTAACATTAAAAAAATAAAATATTATTTTGATATTAAAATAACTAAATATCTTAAATTCAACTAATGTGTATTTTTAAATATTTTATATATTATTTAAATATTTAAATAACCAAGTGTTTTAAATAACAAAATATTTAACATAACTATTTTTTAAATAGTTAAAATAAAGAAATTGTGCAATAAAATAAAAAATATAATATTCAAATTAATAATAATTTAATATTTTTACGAATTCTATATATATATATATATTAAAACTGGTATGTCCATGTCAGCATGTCTCTCCTTTGAGAGAAGCTATTTGTCTATTTTCTCCTTTTTTTGAAATTTTCATTTTTTAATTCCATGTCATTATTTAAACAACCAATGAGATTCACTTTCCCAATAACCTAAATAATCTTTTCTCCTACAATTTCTCCTAAACTACCTCCCCCACTATCCCTCAATTTCTCCAAAATTATCTCTAATTCGTATTTATCTTCTAAATTATCTCTAATTCCAATTTATCACCAAATTTATCTCTAACTTAGTAGGGAATTTATCGCTTAAACTATCTCTAATTCCTATTTATCATCTCCCCTACCTTTTATCTATATCTATCTAAAGAAAGTTCGGATTAAAAAAAGAAGAACTATTTAAATATTCTAACAAAATTATTTAATAACTAAAAATATTTACTAAAAACACCAAAAAATTATATTTTTACAAAATATATCACGAAATTATGTACTAAAAATTTAAATTACTTTTTTTACTAATTATCAATTTAAATGTTTTTCAAATATTTAATAATATATAATAGCTTTAAACAAATAAAATTAAAATTATGTAAATATTTTATAAATTATTTAAATATTTATATAACTAAATATTTATCATAACTATATTTTAAATAGTTAAAATAATGAAATTATGTAATAAATTTAAAAAATTTCTTCAAAGTAGAAAAATATTTATAAATTAATATTTAAATTAATAATAATTTTATATATTACAAAATTAATAATGAAACTATGTAATAATAGTATAAATTATGATTGTATGGATAATTAAATTTAATAAATAATTAATATTTTAAGTATTTAAATAACTAAATATTTTAAATAACAAAATATTTAACATAACTAGATTTTAAATAGTTAAAATAAAGAAATTATGTAATAAATTTAAAAAGAAAATCTAAAAGATAGAAAAATAATTATAACATAATGTTGAAATTAATAATAATTTAATATATTTACATAATATTGTAAATAATTAACTTCACTTATATCAAGAAATAATTCCAGAAAATAACTTTCAAAAAATAATATCTATTAATAATAACTTTAAACTCTTAATCTGTATTTATTATGTAATTATATATACTAAAATTAATATTTATTGTCTTTTGTGATAAATGTATTTTAAAGATTATGTTTAAATTTATTTTGTTTTGTTATTTAATAGAAAATTTTCAATAATTATTGGAGATTAAATTACTATTATTGAAATTTTTAAATTTAATTTATTGTATTTATTGTATTTTTTTTATAAGTTATTGATTAATGTTAAATAGAGATTAAACTATTATTTGAGATTATACTATTTATTGACTAAGCTAATATATTTTTAGTACTTATTGTATTTTTGTAATTTCTATAATTATTGTATGTTTCATTATCAATATATTTTCAATAATTGTTTATTTTTGCTATAAAATTTCAATAATTATTGGAGATTAAACTATTATTTTTTATCGAAGATAAGACTATTAATTTAGCCGAAATTATGAATGTTCATGAGTTGGTTCAATTTGGTCATTAGCTATTTGGCAAACCAAATTGACCTGGTCAAGTTAGGGAGTTGATCAATCAAAACTGACTAACCTTTTGTGAAAATCGACCCACTCAAGTTGTATCAGTTTAGGTCGATTTTTTAGTTTGGTTAGTCTGTTCAAAAGATTTAAACTTAAAAATTTAATTTAATTTTAAAAATTACAGTACAATTATTAAATAATAAATTTAAAAAATAGATTTATGATATGAAACATTTTAGACTAAGAAATATGGGAAAATTCCCACTTTTCCATATTAAAAATTATATTTAAAATATAAAATATTAATATATATCCATGGTTAGTGATGTTGCGCGATCTGACTACTCCTTGCTGGAGGATGATCTGGCTTCCTATCAAGCAGCGTGCAAGGTGAATCTCCAAAAAAGGATCAGAGAACTCGGGGTGGCTAACCTGGTGAGGTCGCTCTGATGCTTAAGTTAGTAAACTGATGCGAGCTAAAAAG